CTCTGTTTTCTTAAATGAGAAAGGAAAGCACGATGGAAAGCTGGAAAGTGCCTATAGTTTTGCCTCTGTTAACAAATCCGAGACCCACTACTGCTATCGTAAACAATCACCTTGTGAAGCATGAATGGAGAGGAGCTGTATGTCTATGCTTGCAACTGTACTCAATTAAATGAATGTTGCCCTTCAATGACTTTTTTGTTCTTAGTATATACTGTCTTTGGGATAAAGCATAACATAGTGGAATCAGTACCACTGCTCTTATGTGTTTTCCCTCCATGCCTTTGTGAATGTCTATGAATAATTTCAGCTCGCTCTTTCTCTTTCCCTTCTTCCCTCCTTCCCTCCTTCCCTCCCTCCTTTCCTTCCTTCCTTCCTTGTGCAAGTTCAGTGGCTTTAACTCAGGGCCTGTGCACTATCCATGAGCTCTTTTGTTCAAGGCTAGTACTCTAACACTTGAGCCACAGCTCTACTTCTGGCCTTTTGGTGATTATTTGGAGATAAATCTCAAAAACTACTTTCTTGCCCAGGCTAGCTTTGAACTGAAACCCTTATATCTCAGCTTCCTGAGTAGCTTCTTTTCTCTTCTTTTCTTTTCTTTTTAATGAATGACTTACTTTAATAATGAGACTTTGAAAATAAAATAAATATCTAAAATACTGTACTATTAAATATCAAACATAATTATTTATTTATTTTAATAAGTTTTTTATTGTGGAAATACTGTACAGAGGGGTTGCAGTCACATGAGCAAGGTAATAAGTACATTTTTTTATTAAGCATTGTTTCCTCCTCCTTTGTTTTTCTCCTACCATCCCTTTCCTCCCATCTCCCCAACTACATACCCCTCTGCCTCCCACTAAATTGTAAAGTTTGTTTTTAGACATAGTGTCTTGTATATCTCATTGTTGCAATGGGTCAGTCTGTATCCCTATTTAAACAATTTATTTTTTCCCTTCCACTCTCCAAATTATACCAACATCACATACAGTAAAAACAGGGGTTATATGTGGGGGAGGGATATACAAAGTAACAAAAAAAAACACATGGTACCTTATAAATACATTAGGAACAATAGCAAGAAAGAAAAAACCACTTGTGTCCTTATCTTGGGGTTCATTTTGCTTAACATCATCTTATCTGACCTTTTCTGCTTGTCCCAGACACATACTAGTTATTGAAAATAAGGGAAAACATGGGACCTGTGTTTCATTGGGCCTGGCATACTTCACTTAATAGAATTTTTTTCCAAGTCTTTCCATTTCCTAACAAGTGGGGCAATGTCATTCTTTCTGATGGAGGTATACAATTCCATTTTCTTGATCCATTCATCTACTGAGGGACATCTGGGTTCGTTCCATATCTTAGCTATGGTAAATAATGCTGCAATAAACATAGTTGTGCTGGTAGCTTTAGTATGGTCTTGTTTGTGATCATTTGGGTAAATGCCCAAAAGTGGAATTGCTGGGTCATAGGGGAGCTCAATGTGGAGTCTTTTGAGGAACTTCCATACTACTTTCCAAAGTGGTTGAACAAGTTTACACTCCCACCAACAATGCAGTAGGGTTCCCTTCTGGCCCCATTCCTTCCAGTATCTGTTTTTTAGTAGTGTTCTCGATTATCACCATTCTAACTGGGGTGAGGTGGAATCTCAATGTTGTTTTGATTTGCATTTCTTTTATGGCTAGAGAGGTTGAGCATTTCTACATGTGCCTATTGGCCATTCTTATTTCCTCTTCAGAGAAGTTTCTCTGTAAGTCTTTAGCCCACTTATTTATTGGACAGTTGTTTCTTTGAGGATTTGTTGTTGGGGGATATAATTTTTTTGAGTTCCAAGTATATTTTAGATATGAGACCCTTGTCCATTGTATGCCTAGTGAAAATCTTCTCCCAAGCCATGGGCTTTCTACTGATTTTGCTAGCTATGTCCTTTGCCATGCAGAAGCTCTGCAATTTCATGCAATCCAATTTGTCCAACCTTTCTTTGATTTGTTGTGTTTCTGGGTCTTTATTAAGAAAATTTTGGCCTGTGCCAAGGAGACCTAGGGTTTCTCCTAATTCTTCCTGTAATGTTTTCAGAGTGTCTGCTTTGACTCCAAGGTCTTTGATCCATTTGGAGTTGATTCTGGTGCAGGGTTATATATAAGGATTGAGCTTTAGTTTTCTACAAGTGATTAACTAATTTTGCCAGCACCATTTACTGAAGAGGCTGTCTTTCTTCCATTCTATTTTTTAGTACCCTTATCGAAGATTAGGTGGCTATTGGTCTTTGAGTTCATTTCTGTGTTTTCAATTCTATTCCATAGGTCCTGAGGGCTCTTCTTCTGCCAGTACCGAGCTGTTTTGATTACTATGGCATTGTAGTAGAGTCAGACATAATTATTTAGTTACAGATAAAACAATATCTCTTGAACCATATGTACATTAAAATGACATTAATTGTTAGTCTGAAATTCAAATTTAACTGGGAATCCTATTCCTCGTGTGACAGCCAAATCGTAGTTTTTGTTCAGCTGAGCAGCTTTCTTCCTATTTCCATCACATATTTGCATTTATTTAGCTTTATGCTTTTCCTGTCATTACTATGTATTAAGGCATATGATTCCTTAACATGTTTACATTTCATGTCAATTTTAATATCTAGCTTACTACTTGGGGCTTGAGCTCAGGGCCTGGGCATTGTCTTTAAGCTTTTTTGCTCATGGCTAATTCTCTACCACTGGAGCAACAAGTCTACTTGTGGCTTTTGGGTGGTTAATTGGAGATAGGAGTTTCAACTTTCCTGGGGCTAGCTTTGAACAAGTATCTTCAGATTTCAGCTTCCTTAATAGTTAAAATTATAGGCATGAATCACTGGCACTCTCACTAGGATTGTTGATATGGGGTTTGATTAGTTCTTCCTAAGACCTGTGCATATATCATCTTGTAACTTATTTGATATCATCCATTTTCAGGTGGGCACAGATATCTTTTAACTCTCCTCTTAGCATAGTTTTTACTGTATCCCAAATAGTCTGCTAGATTATGTTTTTTTTTTATTTAGTTCCAGGAATTTACTTTTTTTTTGCTCCCTGATTTTCTCATTGATGTAAACTATTCAATCTACATGTGTTTGTGAATTTTCTGTAGTTTCTACTGGTTTTAATTTTTAATTTCATTTTATTGTGGTTTTTAAAGTACAAGAAAAATATACTTTTACTGAGATTTACTTATGACTTAAACTGGGATCTATTTTGGAGATATTTCTTAGAGTTACTGAGAAGAAATGTCTATTCTGCACCTTTTGGATAGAATACTCTGTAGATATTGGTTACTGATATAGAGTCATCTTGTTTATGCTAGTCAGAATTTTTAGAGAGTTAACATTTAGATTTATGATTAATGAGAAGTAAATGCAAATTTCTATACTCTGTTCTCCTATTTCTCCTTACTCATTTTAGAGCTTTCTCTGGTTTACAGAGTTGAGAATATTTGATTTTCCTCCATTTCTCTTTTTTTATTGTAAAGATACTGTACAGAGGATTTAGAGTTACATGAGTAATGAGTACATTTCCTTTCATGCATTGTTACCCCCACCTTTGTTTTTCCCCTTCTATCCTTCCCTCTCCACTTCCTCAACTCCTCCCTTCTCCTTTCAACATAGGCTCTTTTATGTCTCATTGTTACAATGGGTCAACCTGTATCTATGTTTCAGCATTTTGTTATTTCCCTACCCCTCTCTAAATTAGAATATATATATATATATATATATATATATATATATATATATATATATATATATGATGCAGGGCACCAGAATCATATAGTGATAATGGGGGTTATATCATGGGAAAGAACATACAAATGATACAAAATCTTCTAGTGATACTTATTCTTACCTGTACTCTTGTACTTATGAATATCTTTGTTACTTTTCTGTTATGGCACTCTTCAAAGTGTCTGACTGGTCATGGATTCATTTACTTTGTGCTTATCTTGAAGAGTCTTTATTTTTCACTAATTTTACAGGATAACTTTTCTGGATATTGTAATCTTGTCTGGTAGTTTTTCATTTTCAGGAACTGAAATAAATTATCTCATGCTCTCCTGACTTACGGTTTATACTGAGCAATCTGCCTGTATTCTGATTGCATTGCTTTTGTAAATAACTTGGTATTTTCTAACTTGCAGCTTTTAAATTTCTTTCTTTCTTCTGTATTACTACCATTCCAACTATAATATAGTATGGGTTCTTTTCTCATCTTGTTTATTTGGAGTTCTGAATATCTTCAGTAGTTTACTATCCTATGTTCTCCTAAATTTGGGACTTTTTTGCTATAATTATATTTACAATGATTTACATATCTTTGGTTTACATCCATACTGCTTCCTCCACAGCAATGATTCATAGATATGGTAATGCATCAGAATTCTGAAAATGTGTGATTATGTTTATTGGAATGATTCCTCCACCTCATTTTCAGACTTTTATATACTTTCTTGTGCTTGATTTAATCTATTGATGATGATTTTTATTTTGTTTTATTTTGATTTATGGATCATTTTGGAGTTTTTCCCACAATCTCTATTCCTGCTGAAATTCCTTTTTAATTCATTAATTTGACTTCTTTATTGCATTTTCTTTGAAGTCACTAATCATTTTTTACACAATTAAATTCTTTGGCATTTAAATGTCTTTGGGTTCAGTTACTAAAGTCTTATGAGTATTTAGAGGAGTCAAGTTGACTTGGGATTTTACATTTCTTGTGTTTCTATTTTATGACATGTCTTTGCTATAATGGATATCTCTATTGTTTTAATATGGGTGAGGGATGGGTTTCATACCATTCTTTTTTTTTTTTTTACACCAACTGCTTTTTATTATTTACTGAAACCTTTCACAAGATGGTTAAAAAAAATTTACAACTACCACTAATGTAATTTCTCCCATTGTTCCCAGTCAGCTCCAAACCCATTGTGTGCAAGGCCCATTTTTTCCATGCATCTAAATGATAGACACAAGCTATGAAATTCTTTATTCTATTTGTAGCAGCTTATGCAGGTGCAGCCAAACACAAAGCTTCAGGACGAATTGTACAAACTTTACAATGTGGGATTTGAATTTAAAGTATGAAACATAAAATCTACACAAAACTGGTAAAAATCAAGCATAGATACCAGGACTGAAACTTATAACCCATGTGTGAAAGGGAGTCTTGTTTCCTTTCAAGTGCTTTATTCTGCTACAGAACAGTCGAAATGAAGATGTAAAGCTTTGTGGTTAGTTTAAATTATACACTCTGTAGATACTATACCAATTTAAAAGTTACACATAGACCAACAGATGTCCATCAGTTCATCTGGATTGATCAGACACTCCAATAGCTGGATTACTGAGAACAAATCAGGCAAATGTGGAAAGAAAATCCACCTGTGCAAATGTTTGCAGAGTTTACTGATGGGCACACTGCACTCCAGGTCCATGATGGCTGCTGCTTTCTTCATCAGAGCTATCATTATAGGCTTCACGGCGCTGACCACTTCCCGAGCCTCGAGTGCTATCAAATTCCTGAAGCTCTACTTCCTCTGTTTCTCCAATTACATTAGGAACTTCTGGCCCAGATGGCAGAAGATCTTCTAATTCAGAAAGCTTGTCTGGGTTGATCCAGTTGTTTTCAGGAAACTGCACATCAAATTTTATGTAAAGATCACCTTTTTCAAAGGGATTACGATACTGAGGCATTCCTTCACCTCGAACTACACGAACACATCCTGGTTCAATTACTTTGCCGGGGGGGTATCTCACCACAATCTGACGTGCATCAAGGTGCTTAAATGTGAACTGAAAGCCACATAAAGCTTCAACAAGTCCTATCTTATATGTCATGTGCAAGTCATTCCCATCTCTCTGGAACACCTCATGTTCTTTCTCTTGTAGCAAAAGAACAATGTCTCCTGGTTCCACTCCTGGGGCCTGATCTGCTTCCCCAGTGAAGGTAATCCTTTGTCCATGTTTCATGCCTTTGTCTACATGGACTTCAAGAATCTTGACTTCTTTAATCACCTTCTTCCCTTCACATTTTTTACAGCGGTCCTTTTCATTAATTACCTCTCCTTCTCCATTACAATCAGAGCACACAGACTGCATCTGTTGTACCATTCCTGGAGCCAACTGTCGGATCATGATGCGCACACCTCGACCCCGACAAGCACTACACTTCTGAACAGCTCCAGACTTCCCACCTTGACCACTGCATGCACTACAGAGTACATTCTTGCTAAGTTGTAGTTTGGTTGTCTTGCCATTATACAGATCTTCTAAAGATACTTTCAGTGGATGCATCATGTCCTCTCCTCTTCTTCTGCCATTTCGACTTCTACTCTGATTGCCCATGAAGCCAAACAACCCTCCACCAAAAATGTGAGAGAAAATATCATCCATGCCACCACCTCCGCCACTACCTTCCCGAAGACCTTGTTCTCCATATCTGTCATACAACTCTCGCTTCTCTGGATTAGATAATACTTCATAAGCAAAGCTTATTTCTTTAAATTTGTCTCCAGCATTTGGATTCTTATCAGGATGGTATTCTTTGGCTAACTTTCTGTATGCCTTCTTCAGCTCGTTCTCGCTGGCGCCAGGAGGGACTCCCAGGATGTCGTACAGCTTCGTGTCAGCCACGTTAGCCATGGCGACCAGCCGGGCAGCGCTCGGAAAGGAAAGCGGCGGAGCGGAGCCGGGCCCACACAAGCAGCGTAGGCGGCAGCGCAGGCCGAGGGAGACAGCGAGGGGGGGAGAAGGTGGGGCCGAACCGGGTTTCATACCATTCTTGATATAAAACCTTTTCTTAACATCTTAGTCTCTACTTCTACTGAAGGAAAAAGATTAGCTTGGTAAAAACAACCACAACAACAAAAACACAGAAACAAGCCAGATATTTAAATATTAGGTAAAAATATCTAACCAACTTCATCCCCAAGAAAGGAGCAAAAGTTAGGTAACATTATTCATAAGAAGTAACAAAAAACAGATTTGGGAAAGGACAAAAAAAGAGAAGAGGCAAGATAAAGGATGACAGAAGGAGTAGATAGGATAAGTACAAGAAATACTAGTCAGGAACACAAATATAAAGAAAAGCATTTTAAAAACAGACAAATTAGTAACTCTAATTTGATGAAGAGATGGAGGATGGAAATATTTACCTTTTTTCTACCTTCTGATTTTGAAGTTGAGTAGATATATGAAAGCTGTTTGTGAATTGCTTTCTCTGTTGTATTCAAACAGGCTAAATAAATGGCTGAATCCTGCCCTGGCTTAACAGAGTAGCATGGGCTAAAGCTGCATGCTAAAGCAGCATGACTGCTGCTCAACTCAATACATACCACGGATCTGGCAGTTGTGGTGTCAAGGAAGAAAGCACAGGAACTATTTCTCTGTGGTCTGTTCATTTGGTTGCCTGTTTGTACCAGAGGTACCTACCAGTATATATTTATAAGAGAAATGCTTATGAAAGTAGTGGCTTTTATTGCCAACAAGTGTCTCTGACAGTAGAGAAGATGACCCATTCAAAACAATCTGCACTGGAAGAGAAATAGAGCTCAAGCACTCAACCATCCTGTCTGCCCTAGCCTCAATCATCTCTGTTCAAGCCCCTGGTAATATGTTCACACAATCTAGTCTTGTTCAACTTCACACAATTTGAGCCACTATTCCAAAAATGCATCTTCCTTTAGCACAACCCATATGTCTCATCATAGAACACTGTGGACATGAATCTGTATCCAAGTCATAACCAGTTTCCTGGGTCCATACTAATATATTGGATATTAGTTACTGGCTTAACTTGTGCAGAAGGAAAGGTTATTAGGACTTGAAGAAATAAAAACGGAGACTTTGATCACATCAGCAGTAAGGTTTGGCTAGTGAGATTTTTCCTAAGATGATTTATTGTCAAGATGCCATTTAGTAAGCCAGGAAGAACAAAGGTGAACTTGTCCAGTATCTGCTTACTTCCAGATCCTGTATCTTCAATCTTAAAATTCTACAAAGTGCCATGTACATGTGGTACTCACCAACACTATCCTTCTCAATTTTACTTAAAGCACCATTCAGGTAGATTTGCCCTTTCTTTAACTGTATTTCCAAGAACTCAATGTTAGGATTCTTTCCTTTTTTGTAGGTCTTATCTGGCCCATATTTAGTTTATTAGTGTAGCACCATGCCTTTTCATGTAACACATACTCCCTTTAGCCAAGCACTTGATGCTTTGTTTCAATCTTGTAAAGATGCAGCAATGAACTGGGTTTCTCTAATCAGTCATCTTCTACCTTCTCAAGTGAATTTTCAAAAAGCAGTTTTCTGACTGAATGAAGTTATCAAAAAGATGATAGTGTACATGATGTTCATGTAGTGGAGTATCAGTATCTCCTTTTTTCTGTAAGATAATTACCACTGTCAGATAAATTGATCAGATTTAGTCCCCTTTTAATTACCTTCAGAAAGGCAATAATCTGCATATCATATGCATTTATGACTTGGTTTTTGACTCATGCTGTTAATACATGAAAATTTCTAGGTCACAGGAAAAAATACATTTTACTCATTATTTTGGGTACTGCTGAAAAACCTGTCATTTGTTGAGGGCTCATTTTCATTTTCTCTAAAAAAGTCCATTATGCAGTTGGGTTAATCACTTTCCTCAACATTTTTAAGGAAGTCCACTTTTGTTTTGAATACTATACTGCTGGTACTTTGATTTTTATGTAAGAATGAACAAACAAGTCTCTGCATTTCCTGAGAAATAAATGATGAAATTAATTTGAGCAGAATGCCTGAGCTTCTGGATTTAATCTCCAACACACACACACACACACACACACACACACACACACACACACACACACACACACACTTTTTTCTCTCTCACATACAAAAACACACACCCTAAGTAAAAAGAAATAAGAGTTAAGATAACTACTAGTCTATAAAAAGAAATAATGGTAATAAAATAACCTGAAACTACCGCTGGACATAATCTTAAAGTCTGGGGGTTGAATCATTACTCTTAGTTGGTGGGTCAAGTTCCTGCTCTTTCACTACAGAAAATCTTCCATTTATTGTCTAATAATCTATTCAACTTCTAGGTAGGACTGTCTAAAAGCCTTTCCATCTTTAATTCTGTGTGTATTTCTTCTGAATTTGTAGAAATTGTGACTGTGCTGATGCTCTGCCCTGGCCCTCTAAGGAATCATGACATAATGGAAAAGGAAGAGGAATATATAGTGATGATTTTCATTTTATACACACAGGAATTTTGCTACAGGAGACCCTTCATCACTCCTTTTCACACAGTAGAGTGTCATCCTTCACATTTCTATGTGCAGTACAGATGCTTTCCTGTAGTGATATGGATGTGTTTGTACTCTGAGATTTACTATTTATCTATTACTGAGCTTTTAAGGAATCAATAACTAGCATCAGTCTCTTCTACTGAATTCTTACCAGGTGCAGGAGTCAGCCAGGCAGCCATAAATATGTTAGCTGTATTGCTAATAAAGCAACTTTTAGTGTTGAGAGGAGTATGTAATAAAGGTTCCTAGTCATTTAGGTCTATGGCTAACCATCTAAACTTAGATTTATGGGCTAAAGTTGCCTCATCATATTAATCTAGAATACAGAACCAAAAGCAAAGGATGACATGTCTCTAAGTAATGAAAGGAGTGAATATATCTGCAAACTGGTCAGTTTGTCACAGAAAGTGAGAAAGGGGTTAGACAAGAGATCATACTTACTTCTCTGAGATCCTGTTGTGCTCAAGTGGTACAATAATGACAATAATAACAATCTTAATATAAATTGCTTTTTTCTTATACATTCATGTCAAGAATTATAATTTAGAACTCAGAAAAGTGGCTACCTGCAAAAGGAACCTTCCTGTACACTAATGCTTTAGAGAATCAATAGATTGTACAGGTAAGGGTACCCAAGGAAATATCATGAGTATGAGATGAATGTGTTAAGATTCTAGATTCAGCCACTGTCTGGTGATTGTCCTCTGAGTGCCAGACACCATACATATTGCTTTCACATTTAATTTAGCTTGGAGATGTAGGCATGATTCAACTAATGGTTCAGATAAGAACTTATTAGTTTCCTAAGGTCACAGAAATATTAAAATCAGGATTTGAACAGATGATATTGAACAACTTTATTTCATATTCATCCCTCTTTGGTCCCTTCCTGTTTATAAAAGTTCTAATATCTAATTTCTTATTGTCTCTAAGGACTGAAATGATTGTTCCAGTTTGTATTGATTTTAACTGCTGATGAGAAAAGCCAAATTTAACTCCTAAAGTTATATTTGAAATGCTATCAAGATAATGGATTTTCTCTCTTATTTTCAACTGTTGTCATCAGATGCTTTTAAATATATAAAATAAGACCATTCATTTATTCGATGTAAGGGTCACTTTCAGGATGACTGCTAGATTTTTCTTTTAAATGGTAGGTATAGATTCAGAGGCTTGTATACTTCTTTCTATGAGTACTTAGGAACAGAATGATTCTTGAAGTGCTTTATACATACATAGGGTCTTTTTGGAACGAATTCAAAATGAACTTCTCCAATAAAACCTTATAATTCAAATGTAAGGATGCAGAAGATATTTTACAAATCCAGTCCAATGCAATCTCCTAAAACACTGAGCTGCCTTTAACAAAATCAGTCTTTCTGTCAGGCATTGGCAGTTAAGCTGCAGTCTGCTGAGATGGCTGTATTCAGCAACCTACTCAGCACAGACATTAAGCTCTGGCTGTGACCATACAATCCCATTTTAAACTCTTGTCTCTATATGTGTCTGTCATCACTTGGCAGCTGACTGGAACAGACATTTAAATCTTTAGATCTGGGAATTTAATTAACGGTTCTGAAATGAAATTGAAGGCTGTATTCTATGCTTACACACACACACACACACACACACACGATAAAAATTTCAAGCATCTAAAATGCAGCTTTGCTATTCTAAATTTAAGATGAAAGTTTTTTATATTATAAATAGCCAATGAACATATATATGTATGCTATTATATATATATATATATATATACATATATATATATATATATATATATGGGATTAAATAGTGTAAGCCTTAGATCTTAAGTTGCCTACCTCTATCTTCAGTAAGGTCACTTGGCAGAGTAGAAAATGCAGAGCTAAGGGGAACTAATTCATAGCTTTCTCTCCCACCTGGATGCAGAATTACAATTCAATCCTTCGCTGCTGGCTGGCTCAGCTTTGACCTTTCACACCATTCTAGTCTCTTAGAAATCACTTGGGAGAATGAAGGAAAAATTCCTCTGCTTCACAGTTTAAGGAGCCATGTGGTTTTGTGACCCTGTGCCTTTAGGATTTGCTTTTCTAAAGGTGCTGTAAACTTAGTAGGCCCTTTTCGGGACATTGTAGAAAAGTATGATAGGAAAGGTTCTTCTAAAGTGTCAGCTTACTGTAATGTCAGTTAGTCACACTTGTTGAATTTTGGAATAGTGCAATGTAAAGCAATGATAAACCCAAGAGATCATTTCCTCTTGATGAAGGAGGAACATGAAGTTCCAAATGGCCACATAGTGATAATCTGACAGACTTGATTTTTATATTTGTATGTTGTTTGTGTAGCAGTATTGAGGACTGAACTACGGAACTCAGAGTCTCACACTTGTGAGGCATCACCTCTACTTCTTGAGCCATACTCTCAGCCCTTTTGATTTGATTTTTGTTTTTGAGAGAGGGTCTCCCTAAGTTTGCT